TCCCCCAGGGGGGATGGCCACGCCGCAATCCCTTCTCCTCCATTCTCCTCTTGGGATCTTGGCACGCACACACATGCACCTGGCGTGAGTTTAAGCCACCGGGTCCGGGACGCGAACCGTGGTCGATTACATGGGAGTCCAGCGACATAGCCGTTACACTAACTGCTGGTTCCCAAATTGAACATTATTTTCTAAATTTACTTAAGAGATCATTTTGTCCTCATAATTATTTTCATAATGATTAGAATGGCAACTAGACTAAATATAAATCAATCTACTCATAGGGACCAGCAGTTAGCATAATGGCTATGTCACTGAACTCCCATGTAGTCAACTCTGGTTTCGAGTCCCACATCCAGTGGCTTAAACTCACACCAGGCATGTGTGTGTACGTGCCCAAGATCCCGAGAGGAGAATGAAGGAGAAGGGATTGCGGCGTGGCCATCCCCCCGGCAATTCTAAGTCATATTCCATCTTAGCATGTGGAGAATGAATAAAGGCCAGGTTTTAGCCCAGATTTTAAGTATATGCAATTATAAATATATTTCATTTATCTTTTAATGACTGCCACTTCTTAGCTGTGACTTCTGGTAAGTTCCTTAAACTTTGAATCTCTTTTCACATCTGCGAAATAATGACAATAATGAGTGTTTTGCGACGTGCTGTGCACCAAAACCCTGGCAGGCACTCACTCATGGCAGCTTTCCCTCCCATCACCATACACTCGTTTCAAAAGCACCCAATGTCTGCGATTCTCTATTCTTGTTAATCCCTATTCCATTTTCCTACAGACATAAACTTGAATGCAGACCTCTCCCCCAAGCCCACGACGTTTCTTCCTTCAGTTGCTGAAACAACCCTCCACAAGGCTGGAACCTATGTTTGTCTTCTTGAGAAATTTTTCCCCGATGTGATTTATGTACATTGGAAAGAAAAGAATGGCAATAGGATTCTGGAATCCCAGCAGGGAGAAACCATGAAGACTGCTGGCACGTACATGAAATTGAGCTGGCTGACTGTGAGCGGAAATTCCCTGGATAAAGAACACCAGTGCATCGTCAAACACGAGAACAATAAAGGAGGTGTCGATCAAGAGATTCTCTTTCCTGCCATAAAAGAAGGTAAGTGGATGCCGTTATTAACATGCTTATATTTCATTATCTTTTAGTGAATGAGAAGCAGACGGCAAAACTTCAGACATTTACAAGCTAGACTTTTTAAATCAACTGAGTGGAATAGCATTTATTCTTTTATTAAAAAGTTAAGCCCTCCAGGGCAGCAGTGTGAATGTGGAGCTTCCTTCCTGTCAATGGCACTGTCCAGTGAATGTGAAGGGCTTCCACATTCATACAAATGCGAAAACTAAATATGACAAATGGACCTCTCCCTCCTTCCATCACGCCTCTCTGCCAATACACTCTTCTTACTTTATGAAATGCCCGTAGGTGAACAGTTCCCAAACTGGTCCTTTCATCAGTCAGATGAGGAGTGTCAACATATATTTGGCACCACTGAGTTCAGAACATCCTTAGGACTCTGTGAAAGTGACAAAAGGAGTATGAGGCCATGTCTGTTTCCTCAGGAAGTTGCCCTATAGACAGAGAGGGTCAGGAGGGCAGCAGTTAATCTCCAGGACTTTGCAGCTCATGTTTCAGGAGTTGTTTTTCAAGTTTGGAGGGGTTTACTCGATGTAGCATCAGAAACTGCCCACTTAAATGAAAGAGGGGAATGTCAAATTTGTATTTTTCATACCAAGCAGAGTTTTCTGGAAGTGTGGTGCCCACCTCCTGTAAAATAAACCTGTGCTTATAAGGCTTGAGTACGTCCTTGGTGCCATGACAAAGGGGACATGGATCCTTGTGAGTAAGGTCAGCACAGGCAGGACTGTTTTAGAGGCAGAGAGATTTCTCAAGAAGACTCCAAAGGAGGCTTTGGCAAGTTACATGCTATTTCCTTGAAACCAGAGCATTGTAATTCCCATCCAGATGATTTCTCCCCTTTGACATGATTGCAAACAAGACTACAACTGCACTCAGGAACTTCAAGGTGGCTTTCGGCTTCTGATGTACAGACTTGTAATGAACCTCATTGTGTACAGCTCAAACATTGGTGGAGAGCTTCACATGTATTTTTTTAAAAAGATTTTTGCCATAGGTCATGTGTGCTGAGCCTCACATGGCCAACATCGTTGCTCTACAAGTCAGTTTTAAATTTTTTTAAATATATGATTATACTAACATGTTCCTTCTGGAAATTAACCCCTAAACCTATATTTCAAACCAATTTCTAAGCACATACCATAACAAGATCTTGATTAAAAGAAATTGAATACTATACCCAAATTCATATGGCTAAGAATTTATCTAGTAGGGAAAAGATAATCCAAAACAACCATTGTGATTCTTTCTTTTAATTTAAATTTATTTATTTACATTCATTCACTGTACATTATTACAACGTACAAAATGAGATTTTCCATCCAGAGTACACTGTATATTGGCTCAATCAAGCACATCAACATACATGCTATCATCAACAAATAATTTTCCATTTCTTGTTTCCTGTATGTTTTGCTTTTTTTCCCCCCATCCTTGATTTCCTGTCTCTTACCCTCTGCCATCTCCCACTCTCCTCCCACACTGTCTCTGGTATCTTTGTTTGCCTTCTATACTGTTTTCTCCGCACATTTTATTGAGTCACTAAAGATCTTAATTAATCTAAATATTTTCATAGCAAGCACAACTGATATATACATTTTTATGAACACAAGTCCAACTTTAAGCATAAGCCTCAATGAGTAGAATGAACGTCCTATAAAGTAGCACCTAGCTGGGACTATATATCATACTGCAGTCATCGAATAGGCATTATTTTTTCTGAAACTTTTTTTTTCAACTTAATTTGCGTTCTTTTCCTAAGCATCGTCACAGCATACAAAATGTGATTTCCCATCCGGAATGTACTGCATAGTGGCTTCATCAGGCATATTAGTATCACAAATTTTCCATTTCTAGTTCCTAGAATTAACCATTGTGATTCTTTTCCTTCCTCCAACAATTATGTTTTTAAAATAGTTGCAATTTTCCCCAGGTTTTATAGTAATATATTCAGTGAACCATAAAAGTGGCATGGTATGTCTTTTGATTTCAAGAAAGAATTACACAGAAATGCTGAGTCCCTATTAAAAAATACGTCAATTAGCTAAGAATAATTGAGATATCTAGTATCAACTGCTCTGTTAGTGTTTGTATTGATAAAAAACACGCTCTGTCTCTGTAGATTATTTTCTGTCATGTCTGCAGATTACTTTCACGAAGTACTTTCCACGCGCCCTGTGTCTTTCAGTCCCTACAATTACACAACTATCCTTTGAAAACTGCCTGTGCATTTCTGGGATGATTCTTGGCAACTTACTTATATTTCCAAACCTTGTCTCCTCATGTATAACACTGGGCATCCGTCATACAGTAACGTGTGAGAAGCATGTCTGTGGATTCTGGCGCAGTACTGGTCACTCCGCGGTGTTAGCTTTGTCCACATTGTTGCCATTGTGTCACAAACACACGCCCTGGGGAAATCAGGTGCAAGGAGGGGACCCTGGGGAGACGGGCAATTTGGGTAATTATGGCTGCTTCCTTTACTTAGATGAGAGACTTCCTGAATCCCATCTCCTTCACACCTGTCAGATTCCTTCATGGATTTAGGATGTTATGAATTCACTGTGGCACCTCGTGCACCATACTCAATGTCTGCAGTGTGTGTGAAAGCCTACACAGCAACCGCTCTGTCCGTTTCTCCGTGCCAGGGTATTGCTCGACCCCCTGTGTTGGCATCACTGTTCTCATAGCTGTGGATGTCTCAGGAAAACAGGGGTTCTGGGGTCTGGTTTGGAAGATAGTCTTGGAAGTCCCTATGTTATAAAGAAAAAAAATGTATCCTTCATGAACTGCAATATATTCATATGCAGACGTAAAATACAAAAATGAGATCTACTGAATTACATGTAATCAGACCAATTATTTCTGAATTTGGGGGCTCATGTTTTTAATGGCTGCCTTTCATGCCTGTCATTATTGGTGGATTATACACAAACACAAAGACACACGCTGTAAAATGATGTGATGAACAGATAACCAACTAGCACGTATGTTCGTTTCTTTCAGCTGTTATGGCTACTGATCCAACAGAAGCCCCTGTAACAGGTGAGAGTGGTCATTTTTGTGTATATTTGCCTTTATGTCATGCTATCGATATATTTGTTTTCTCCTGCTCGATTTAACCTTGAACTTCTTTGACTTAAAGTAGAACAATTATTCCTGGACCTGTGGCTCTTGGATTTTTAATAATTTCACTACCTCTCTCTGTATTTGTCAGATTTTATGTTTATATAGATATATTGGGTTATTGGGAAAGTCACTCATTTTTCATAGAAAAACATAGAAAAATATCTCAAGACTTTCCCAATGACCCAGTAGATATACACACAAAAGTTGCACAAATACGTATATATACATATATCTACACTTAGCCATGCCATCAAATTGACTAGTAATTGTTTTCATTTCTTGTAGCTTCTACTATCTATTCTACAAAAGCTTATATGAAAAATGAAACAGGTAAGCTGGTGTATGTCTGTCTTTAGGTCATGGTACAGCATGTTTATTTCTTCTTGATCAACTTAATTTTAAGTTTTCCTTGCTTAACATAAAAATAACAAATGATTGGGATGACCTTCTAGCCTAGTGGTTAAAGGAACGTGATCCCACATGGTTGACCGTGGTTTGCTCCTGACCCTAGTGGTTTGAAGTCATGCCGAGTGTACTTGTATGTCTCAAATCCCAATGGGTTGGACAAATGGAAGAGAAGGGACTGTGGCATCACCACATCCCGTTGAGGGGTGCTTTCTCCCTCTGTGTCTCTGCTCCCTGTCTCTCTTCTTTTGTGTCTGAGGAATGCACACTCCATGCCACAGCATTTTTTCTCCTCCTCATCAACTTAACATCCTCATATAGTTAGGTTTTTAATTTTTTTCCCCACAGTTCATGTGTGCTTACTGTAGGGGCAGAGAGACAGAGAGACAGAGAAAGAGAGTGAAAACTAGCCCCCAATGAGGCATGGCAATGCTACAGCCCTTGTTCTCCATTTCTCGATCCTGGCAAAATTTGGGGCATGCACGTGTAGGCACCTGGCATGCTCTTCAAGCCATCAGGGTTGGGATTCAAGCCACAGATGGCCATGTGAGACTAATTAATCACTAGGTTATAGGGCTCGGATTTCAAAAACTCAACTTTTGAATTTCCCAGGTTTGAGGTAGAAAGTCAGAATGGTTAGATGTTGCAGAATGCACTGAGTCATATTTTAAATTTATCCATCGTTTTCTAAGAGCCATATCAACACAATGAACTGTTGACTTGGTAAGAAATGACTATAAATTAGAGGGTACAGTATATACTCAACTGTTTCACAAACAATTTCTTTCTTTTTCTTTTTTCTTTTTTTGGAGAGGTTTTTGCTATAGGGCATGTGTGCTAGCCAGAAAGACAGAGAGAGACAGAAAGACAGAGACAGAAAGACAGAAAGCGAGAAATCACCCCCAAGAGGGGATGGCCACACCACAATCCCTTCTCCTCCGTTCTCCTCTTGGGATCTTGGGCATGCATGCACACATGCCCGGCATGAGTTTAAGCCGGGTCCGGGGCGCAAACCGTGGTCGACTACATGGAAGTCCTGCAACATAGCCATTACGCTAACTGCTGGTCCCGCACAAACAATTTCTTTCAGTTGTGTGTCTATTGTTTCCTGTGATGGAGGAAGCATGATACCAGGTCCGTTCCAGAATATTTTGTCTTTCAGTTCTTACTAGTAGCTAATAAGAAGAACATGACACTTACAGAGTATTTATCAACAGAAAGCCTTGGACTGTGTTCTGCATGCATTTTTGTTGCTGTTTTGTTTTTTAAGCCTCATAGTACACCAATGAAGTGAACTCGTGTTTTTCCCCATTTTATAGATGAGGACAATGAGCTAAGTTAGCTGGGTCTCTTCCACGTGTCACAAAGCTAGATCTGGAATTTCAGAACAGGCCATAGAATGAATTCATGCCCTCACTAAGTTCTCTATTGCTCTTCTAAGATAGAGTCATAGATTAGGAAATACCAAAGTCAAGACCCAGATGGATAGATATAGGAAGGAGGATGGGTGAGTGCACAAGCTTGAGAACCACCACCCCAGCTCTTTAAATGAATAGTGCATAACTATTGGTAAATGGTTTACAATTTTGTGAGAAATACTTTGGACATCTGCCAATTGAGAATAATTACACCAAACTAACAGTAATGGAGGAGTTAAGGGCACAGACATGAAAAGTCTAGCACAGGGTATCTCATCTCACAGACACAGAATAAGTATCGGTTTCTGGTCCTGTCTGTCTAAATATGTACAAAGACCTTGACTGGAAACCTTGGCTCCAGCCTGCGGCCCTTGCCTCTCTTTTGGATATGGAATGGACAGTTGGAGAGCAGTGTCTGCACCAGGCACGGAGGTCAGTGATCCTTGCCTGACCAAGGGTAGGGGGTTAGCACACATCACCTGAGATGCCATCCCACACCAAGGGCTAGTGATTCTGGAGATCTGTCTCTAGGAAGACAGACATTTCTACAGAAAGAGATTAAGCCTTGTGACTCATTGAGTGGTCCTTCTGGGTATTGTCTTCCATTATTTTTTTAATTTTTATTTTCTTGAGAGAGATTTGTGCTATAGGGCATGTGTGTTCTCTGGAGAGACAGAGAGAGACAGAGTGACAGAAAGTGTGAAATTGCCCCCAAGGCGGGATGGCCAGGATGCAGTCCCTTCCCCTCCATTCTCCTCTTGGGATTTTGGGCATGCTCACACATGTGCCTGTTTAAGCAATGACATCCTTTATTTCTTGCAAAACTTCAAAGAATATTAAAAACAATTATTGATGATATCATTTCCACTATTAGATACATTTTGGGAAGGCAGGTGAGTGGACCTTAACCTCTAAACAGCTCAGAAAATTTGGATGACATTCTTCCATTTCTACTATGCTCTCTTTGAATGAAAATTGACGAAAACCTGCCCCTATCTCACTCTGAACATCAGCAAAGTTTTCATAGTGTGCAACATGTGTCGAGGCTCAGATACTCCTACATCAGCCATTCAACTTTATATTTATGCTCCAGTTTTTGGAGACTGGGGTGCTTATTGCACTCAGAGATGCAGAATTACAGGGTGGCTAAGATTGTACTCTTTAAAGTTATACTCCTGGGTTAAAACTAGGGCTTGGCACTTAGTAATCCGTAAAATGAGGACGATTACTTCTGGCTGTCTTCAGATTATTTGTCAAACTAGGATTAAAATAATAATGGATTATTGTGAATTAAATAATACTAAATTTAATATATAAAACTCTCCAAATAGTGCTTAGTGCTTGGTTAATAAAAAGTATCATGGGGACCAACAGTTAGCGTAATGGCTATGTCGATGGACTCCCACGTAGTCGACCGCGGTTCGAGTCCCGGACCCGGTGGCTTAAACTCACGCCAGGCGCGTGTGCGTGCGTGCCCAAGATCCCGAGAGGAGAATGGAGGAGAAGGGATTGCGGCGTGGCCATCCCCCCTGGGGGGTGATTTCTTGCTTTCTATCTCTCTGTCTCTCTCTGTCTGTCTGGCGAGCGCATGTGCCCTATAGCAAAAACCTCTCCAAAAAAAAAAAAAGTATCATGTATCATGTATTACTTTATTAAGACACATGGTCTGATAACACATTATCACAGACACTTTTTTGCCCATTAAATTCATTTATTAAAAATGCACCCTTCTTTTGAATATTTAGTGTGTTCCAAGTGAATTAATTAAAAGTTGTTGATCACGTTGGCATGAAGCCGAGTTCTGAGTCGTCTTTCTGTTGGTGTTGGTGGTAGTAATGCTGGGTGTTTACTTTGGAGTCTTGGTGTTGATGGGGTGTCACTTCAAAGCACCTCATCAGGAATCACTGTTGAGGAGCCTCTCCACATTAATATTTGTCCTGTGCCATCTACAGAGCAGGCACTGCTAAGCAGGCGACTTTTCCGGGAGGCACTGCAGCTGCAGCTCAACAGCACCCACCCGTACTACAGCTGCAGCTCACCAGCACCTCCGCGTACTACCCCTACCTCCTCCTGCTCCTCAAGAGTGCGGCCTACTCTGCCGTCATCACCCTCTGTGTGTTCAGAAGAGCAGCTGTCTGTGGCACTGGGAACAGTTCATTCTAGATGGAGGCATGAAGGGATGGTCTCTTCATAGTTTACTGTTCTTAAAAGTATCTACTAAAGATTTAGCTGGGCTTTTCTGTTGGTTTGCTCTATTTCGGCTTTCTTGTATTCTATTATTCTCTCATGCAGTTATTGAATAATAGTTTTCCTAACCAGGGGGCAAACTGAAGAGATCTCACTCTGTAACAATAACAAAGAGCAGCCCACGGCAGCCTGACACCACTCTCTGCGTCCCCTCCATCAGCTGTGTCGGCCCAGCCACGTGGTCACAGCCCCAGTGCAGACTGAGCACTGCTGCTAGTCACCTCCCTCGGGGCCTCTCTGAAGCTGCTCTATGCTACTTACCTTCCCATCTTCGTTCTTTTATAATAGACAAAATAAAAAATAATTGGAAGCCTACTTTTGTTCATGTGTATTTTATTTTGATGAAATTAATGGAGAGCCTAAGGAAAGGAACAGCCGACACCCAGGCTACGACATTGAGTGCTGCTGTAATAATGGCCCCACCCCACATTCTTCATTCTTCTCTGAGGTAGTGGTTGTGACACTTTTCTTGCAGCCCTATCTCCATGAGGAGCTGCAACCACATTAAATAGCCCACGCTGCTTCTCTTTCAAAGGTCCGATTCGTTAGGTTTGGAGAACTCACTGGAGCCCTGACACTGTCCTATGTGCCCTGTACTACGTGTGCTCGGTCTGTGCTAGTGTTTTGTAACCACCATGGTTCCTGGCCCTCACAATGTCTCCTGGAAAGAAGAGTGATGGAGGAGTTAAGCACATGGAGTCTGGTCCCAGGGAGGCTGGCGTTGAATCCGGGGTCTGGTGTTTAGTATCTGTGAGATCTCAGGCGAGTTGCAGCGCTGCGAGCCAGAATGTCCTCATTTATAATTAAGTCAGAACATTTGTCTCCTGGTTTGTGTGTGGACTAGGTGAGCCGGTAATATTTGGTGCACGCAGGTCCTCAAGAGTATTGGTATGTAGAAATAGTTGAGACCACATGCACACAGATGCACAGACGTGCACACACACATACACTAATGTGATCTCTATTTTACTTCTTTGAGAACGCTTAGCTGGGATGGAGCAGGGACTTGCTAAGATTCCATATTGCACCAGGCAATCCAATATGTTAACCAAAATCTTATATAACTACCAAGTAGAATTTCAGCATAATGAGAGAATCAAAGTTATTGCACAAAAACGGTACAATTCAACAAAAAAGGCTAGAAATGCAACATTCTCATTTGATTGAGTCACAGTCCACAGCTCCCACTAAGTGGCACCAGGAATTCTGCTGGGCAGTTTGCGTCCTGTTTCTCCACTGCTCTCAGCTGCCCCACGGTGC